ATCTCATCAAACACCATTTTTACATTATTCAAATGAGCTTCATCGTCGTCCCAGTTATCAGTAGATCATCGATATAAAATATCACATCTTTCATGTCTCCGAATATGTTATCCATAGTTTGTTGGAATATTGCTGACAAAGTCTTTAACCCAAATGGAAGTCTCGTAAACCTGTAATAGCCCTTATGTGTTGATATTGTGAGAAAATCTCTGGATTCTTTGTGTATAGGTACTTGAAGAAACGCGTTTTTAAAATCAATCTTGGTAAATTTCTTAACTTTAGATAATTTTGCAATTAAATCATTGATGCGTTATTGGGTACTTAAAATTTTTTAAAGCAGGGTTGATAGTATTTTTGAAGTCAGCACAGAGCCGAAGTGAGCCATCGCTCTTAAAAAAGGGAGTGAGAAGACTAACCCATCTAACATCTTAAACAGGTTCAATGATTTTGTCGTTTATCCACTTTTGAAATTCTTTTGTTATCAAATCAATTCTAGAATATGGTATACGCCTTGGCGGTATGATTTTAGGTATGGCATCTTGTTTTAAACGTAATTTAACATAGCTGCGAAGCATTGGCTTTTTGTTAAGTTTAAAATTGCATTGCTTAATTAATTCTTGTATAGTGTTATCATCATAATCATCATCGACCAAATTCATAAATTTATCTAGTATATTCCCAAAAACTGTTATCCAGGTCCTTCCTAACAGTGCAATCTTATCACTCTGGACCACATAAGCAGTTAAGATTTGACTTTTGTCCTCGAATTTTGCCCTGACTTTGATAGTACCTAATACATTTATCATATTTCCATCGTATCCAGTTAATTTAATATCTGATTTTTTTAAGATTTTTATTCCAATCTTTCTCGCGATATGAATCGATAGGATGCCATACCTAGAATCAGTATCAATCTGCATCAAAATAGGCACGTCATTCAAATATACTTTAACTTTATATGCATTATTAGCTGTATAATCATTATCGGCATCCAAATTGTTTATGTCCAAATTGTATAAATTAAATTCTTTTCTTTCTAATTTATCATTATATCTTCTATATTTATAGTGTTTACTTTATTTGTGTATCGTGATTGATTATTATCGTTGTTATGATATTTAAAAATGCATACTTGATTTCTTCCTTGATTTCCAATATTATGATTATCGTTATGTCTTTGAATAGAATCGTTATAATGTCTGTTATATCTGTAATTATAATCATTATTAAACCTATAATTATTATAGTTATTGTTATTATAACTAGCTCTATTATCAAATCTTGAAGAATTATTGTACGATCCTGAATAGTTTGCCCTGACGTTGTTGTAATAATTCGCGCTATAATTCTGATATCTAGGGTTGTAATTATTTCCTTGATAATTATTTCTTTGAAAGTCATGGCCTCTTGTTGTCCATCGTTGTCTGTTATCGTAATTAGATTGTAAATTTTGTCTTTCATCATGGTCTCCATATCTCACCATCTATTTATTTTCCTACCTCTTTACCTTTCTACATGTTTCACGGTTGTATCTTCTGTTTTTTGTTCAAAGAAATATTTTCAACTTTAGCAATTATATTTTCTTTTAATTCTAACTCCTCAAAATCATCTCTTAAAGTAAGAACTTCTGCTAATGTAATGTTTTCTTTTAACGTAATTTTCTGCCTTATATTTTTGCTGATTGATGAATTTTTTACTTTTTCAATAACTCTACTATCACTTAGCAAACATTCATTTTTTAAAATGCATAATCTACTTACCCAACTGATGTAACTTTCATTTTTACCTTGTATAGCTGCGTTAAATAATACTAAGTTGGAACTTTTATAGATTTCCTCGGGTGTGATAACCTGAATTTTTCAATCAATATCGATGTTGATGAAGTCGGTAGGTGAACATATCGATTTGAGCTTGATATAAACTTCATCTGGTGGTCTTCTTGTAAAGGATCCTGCTTTTTCAATGTCCGAGATCTGAGTGTCCTTGAAGATGTTTTCGAATCTACTCAAAAAAAACATCGCCATTGTCTGAGTATATTGGAAATTCAAATTTATATTAACATTATTAGGAATCTTTTTCATATATTTACGATTTCCTCGAATATTTAGCGGAACTGCCACCACGAAGTTTTCTAAGTTAGCTGGTCATAGTTATAACAAATTTTGGTGATTTTATTTATCAATTCAAATCATATAATAATTATTATTTTATATATTACATCATAAAATATTATTTTTTAACCTGTAATAGATGGTATTTTTCTTAATGAGATATCATTTTCATAGTTTTATAGCTTTTTCATAATCTTTTTTAGTAAAAATTTTCATATTTGAATTTTGCATATATATTTGGGTACCATAATAATATAATAAAAATTGATTGATTGCACCGACTAGCCAAGATTCTACTAACCTCAATGGTGGTAATATTACTAATTTGATCTTAACATATATTTAATTTTAAGCATTATATATCAATCCGAAATTTTCCCAAATATTAAAATAGATATTTAACTCATATAATGTTCATTTTGTGATGTTTAAACTTTTAATTTTTTAATACAGCCTAATAATATTAAGTGAAAATATTGTAATTTTTACGTCAAAAACATGTCATAACATAACAGATAAAAATTTAAATAGCTAAATATTATAAATTATTTTCATCCCCAAATATGGATTTTATAAATTTCTATTTTAGAACAAAATTTCAACTTTTAATCGTTACTAGTAAAATAAAATCCTTTAAACCGACAAGCCCTTGCGCCGACTAGCCCTGGTCTCCCCTACTTATAAAAATAAGAAATCTAGTTACCTCATTTCCAATTTTTTAAAAATTAAATTTAAAATAAATATTATAATATAATGTTCAAAGGAAAAATTAAATTTAAAACAAATATAATATAATGTTCAAAGGGAGGGGATCTTTTTCACACTTAAATTTATTTTCATACCACTACCCCAATATTTTGGAGAATGTTTTAAATTTTAGAATACATGAGATTATATAAGGATTAATGAATAAAAACGTGTATTAATAAAAATTATATATTTTTAAAGGCTATCTATAATGGAGACAATCATAACTTTTTGCAAGAATAAGAATGACTTTGTTCTAGGGCTCTAATTTTAACTGTTGTTCTAAAACTAATATTATGAGTTTTAAATTTCAATGAACAATTGTGTTAGTAACAAGAAGCCAAGGCTGTGCCCCACAAATTTTTCACCGATCAAATATTACCAAAAAACCTACCCGTTATTTATATTGATTTTTATTTCATTGTATCAATGCCATAAAAGTGTCAATTTTTTTTTTTTAAATGATCAAGTGTAATTTCATTTAAAATATTTGCAATGTGTATGGGGTGAATACCTAAGCCGTGAAATTTGGCTAATAGAATCCTAAATCTTTTACTATCTGTGCGCAAAATCAATAAGGTTGAGTAATTTACTTTTAGCCAAAATCTTGAGTTACCTCCGTTTTTAAAAATTGGCGAAATCGATCCGTTTAACAACACTAACTGAATGTAACTCTTTAGATATTTTGCAGAAAATAACAAAAAATAGTGTAAAATCAATGTTTAACTATTTTTAAAGCATGATACCAATCTAAATAATGTCATACCTGCATTTTGATATACATTTATAAAAAATATTGGTTTTTGTGTTAGATACTATTTTCGAGGTATTTCTATACTTTTTTAGATAATTTTGATATACTGTTTTAATGCTTTTTTATTTTAAAGTAAAAATAATTGAATGCAAAATTCATTTTATTTCATATGAGCATATAATTTAATTAAATATAAATACTATTATAATACAAAATATAAAAACTTATGTTAAAAAAATTCCCATTATAATCTATAGATATCAGTTCAAGATTATGAAGGATATTTTTAACATAAAGAAATATATACAAATCCTTGCTTAGCCATGATGCCCATTAATTATTGAAAACAATACCATTGATGTTGATGCACAAAATTATATACCTATTTTGTGCTATCATAATTTCTGTTCAAGAATCGAACCTTGTATATAAGTATGATAAAAATTGTATCTGTATCATACGTTTTTAGAGGGGATGACTAAAATATGTGCTCCCTATCAAAACTTAATTCCATATTATTAATATAGAAGCGTTTAGCTTATTGAGATGATATAGAAAATGTTATTTTCAAATTTTAAAAAACTGGTAAATTAGTAAAATATTAAAAAAAAGACTTTTTGAATGAATAAAATATGCATCCCTGACAAATACCTTAGTGCTCTCAATAACTCTATGCTATTTTTTAAAATGAATGCAGAATCGGGATTTAGAAATTGTTAATAATTCAATCTTGTTATGAATCTATCCGAGCCATATGCACTAAATTTTTAAAAGTTGAACCATATCTAGCATATTTTGAGGAGCTGATATTTTTGTTAAATTTTTACAATTTTTATAAAGAAAGCTCAAAAATAAAATTTTTTAATCAACCCCATTAATTAATAACCTAAAATATTACTAAAAGCCTAATTAAGATTATAACCAAAATAATATTTTGTAAACCTGGTGATTTTGCTCATAGATGGCAAAAAGTTTAGACTTCTACTTGCCAAATCTTGAGGCTTACATAATACTATTTTGGTAAAAAAAAAATTGAGCCATTTTTAAAAATTGACCCAAATCGGGATTTTTAACACTACATAAAATAACCTAAACCAATAAAAATATTGACCTGATTTAATATTTTTTGGAAATGCTAAATAACAGTGGTAAACTGATATTTAATATCAGCACAGCACTACATGATTATATTTTACTTTAAAATCTTAGATGTATGACTGATAATATTAAAAAACAACTTTCAAAAAAAATTGGAAAAGCAAAAGCATCAAAAAATAATTTTAATATAATATAATATAAGATTGTTCTAAAACATTAAGGAATTGATATTATTTAGAAGATGCTATCAATATATAAGTAAATATTCATGTCAGAATCAATAGATCGATGTATTTTCTTTTGCTAAATTGTGTTTAATAACTATCTTCAAACTATATTTTGATTTTTATTAATATTTGAAGTTTAGTGAACTACAATATAAGTTATAGGAGAAAATAATCAACAGTATATTCTTGTTACAATAATGGAAGTAGAGATTTATAAATTGATTTCATTTATATAATCCCAATCTATAAAAACATATAAATATCAATATATAAATAATATATACTTTATTTGCTACATCTAGAGCATCAAAATCTGGCTTAAGGCGAACATAGGCCTTTTTATAACCATCAGGTCTAAAAAATAATGTAAGCAAAATATTATATTTTAATATCAATTTTTAAAAAATATAAGAGCTAATTATTTACAAAAGTTTGATTACCAAGTAATATATTTAAAATATTAAAGGTCAGTAACTTTTGAATAATGTCATCAAACAGTATATTTTCCAATTTTGCGCATATTCATCATAAAAAATTTTTTAAAATTACCTTATTAAACAATTGACTTTTTCTATAGATATGTTGTAAAGTTTTTTGACGGCTTGCTTAATTTGATGTTTATTAGCTCGTTTGTGTACAATAAAAACAAGCGTATTATTGTCCTCAATTTTTTTCATGGCTGACTCTGTTGTCAGTGGGTGCTTAATAATAGAGAACTGATCCATTCTATGATTAAAATACATAAGATTTTAAATAAATTAATTACCGATTTCTGTGAGGTATACTCTTTCGAGGATACTTTGGAGTTCTCGGTTTACATAAAGTTTTTGGTCTTCTAAAATGAACAGATGTTCTAATTTTCTTTGACTTTTTAGGAAAATTTCCAGCTTCAACAGCAACCTGTGCTTTAGTGGCTTTTTTATCTTTGGTTTTAATCTCACTTTTCTTCTTTATTATTTTAACCTTTGTATTAATTTTTTTCTTAACTTAAAAATGTTACATTGTATAAAATACAAAAATATATTACTGATAGGAGTAGTTTTAGGTTGTGGAATAGTTTTAGGTGGAAGTTTAGCTGTAATTTTAATTCCAGTTGTTTTAGCGGTAGGAACAACTTTAGCTTTAGTAGGAGGTGTAGCTTTCGAACTTTTTTTTGATGCCATGTGGGAAATCAGAAATAAATTTAAAACTGTGAAACTCGGCTTATTTTTACTAAATTGAAATGGTTTAGTTATTGCTAAAAAAATGGTCTTAATATTATGTACGTTTAAAGTAATATGAGTTCAATGCTAGATACTTTTATTAAAATCTAATATTTCGGAAATAGCAAATGTAAATAAAATGATATGTAAATAGTGATTTATAAAAATTATTTTAAGTATATTAATCGATGTTTCTGAAAATATATTAATGATTAATGATTTTCATATAAAATATTTTACCATTATATACAAAACATTTTATTTAAGTCTATTCGATTCGACTTTCAAATATGAAAAAAATAGCTGTTTACATAGGGTAAATGATAATTTATTTTAAATGTGTAAAGATTATATTTATAAGCATATAAGATAATAATCTGTTGCAAATTACCTTATTTTTAAATCGATATGGTCCTACTCGATATCATACTATTTTGGTTAAGTAATAAATATGTAATAATTTCGAAATAATATAAATTATTACCGTTAAAAAAAACTTAAATAAAAAGTTTTATTTTATCAAATATATGATCTTAAATAAATATTTATATATATGACAAATAGATTTTTATATTATATAGTAATTGGAATCTTTTACATTCTGTTAAGTGCTCCTCCTTGACCTTGTTTATGCCAAACGACCATTTTATTTTCATGATCTAGCGATGATATGAGGCAGTGGCGTATCCAGGATTTTCTTATAGGGGGGGGTGAAATTTTTTTGGGGGCTTCGCCCCCAAACCCTTTTACCTGGCCTTCGGACAGCTTTTCCCCGGCCTTTGGCTGGGTCTTATTTAGCTATTCTATTAAATTATTCATAATTTAATAATAATTCTATTTCTATTTTTAACTAATATTTACTAATTCGTGCTTATGTATAGGATATTACAAGCCTCTTTTTATTATTTCAAGTTAGGTATATTATATTTAATAAAGTTTTTTTTAATGTAAAGGTTTTTTTAAATGTAAAGTTGAAATAAAGTGTAATGTCATTTTTTTTATAAATTTGCTTTAAAAACTAGCCTCAGCTTAAATTCTCATACAATATAAGTAGAATATAATTTTTTTATTGAAAATACTAATAGTAGTGTGTTTAAAATATTGACTAGAAAATAATTAAATTAACAAGTTTTTTTAACTTCTTATCAAATACAAGATTTTTAATTATTTCGTTTGTCGTTGGAACCAAATCTCTGTGTATATTTAACAGAGCTAACCTATTTAGCCGAGATTCAGTACTTCGTAAATATGTTTTCAACCTTCTCAAGTTGGAAAAAGTCCTTTCATTCATACATGTTGTAATAGGCAAACATGCAAGAATATAAAACAACTTCGAAATATTAGGAAATTGAGCCATGGTTTCTTTACACCGATTGAGCGCATCAATAGCATGCTGAGGTAAAATAGTTAAACGTATAAATAGCTAAACGTATAAATATTTATACCACAATTTGAATTCACTGATTAAATTTATTTCAGTATCAATCTCATAGGAATAAAATTTTCTAAATATTTAATTTTACCAATAATGGCATTAGAAAATGAAGAAGGATCTTTGGGTAATAAAACTTGAAGATTGCTAAAAACTTGTTTTTTATCTAAAACCCGTACTTTTATTTGCGATAAAAAATTATCTAAGAATGGGATGAAAATGGATATTTTATAATATTCTTCAGTTGAGCCAATATTTATTTTCATCTCAATAATGGCCTAGGTGCTAGACGAGGTTTAATTAGTGTTATATCATAAAATTTAACCTTCGATTCAACGTCTAGATAAATATTATGAAAATATTTATCTACATTCATTCTTATTGTATCTACCTGTTCATGTATATTTTCCGCCAAATCAATAACCTGAACCAAATCTAAATTTGGTTTTTGTAAATTTCTACAAAGTAGTGAGCTAAAAATAATTTATTGATGCAACTAGCAGCAATGATAAACTCTGATTGATCAATTGAATTCAATAATGATATCGCTGCTGACGACACATTACTTTTTTCATACTAAGCCTTATAAATTATCGTTTGATTTCAATCTCTTTGACTAAATATTTTTCCATATTGTTAATATTTTTAAATAATATGTTGGAAAATTGATATTCAAATATTTGTAAAATTTTGATTGGGGGGGGGGGGGTAAAATTTTTATTAGCTTAAAATGATATTTATGAAAATAGTCAAATTTGCGATGGGGGGGGGAATTTCCCCCTTTCCCCCCCCATTGGTTATGCGCCTGATATGAAGTCAATGCTTGAATGGGATATTTAAAATACTTTTAGATAGTTTTTATTTAGGGTGGGGGGGGGGGTGTTTTTAAACAAGCGTTTTTTTGTCCTGCCTATTCTGAAGTCAAAATATATAGAATCTTCAATTTACACAATTTATAAAGTTTGTATAATTGCTATAATATGGCTAAACACAAACTAAGTCGGTTTAATCTTCAGGCGCTTGCCGAAGAAAATCCGTTAACATTGAGACATTTTAATTTATTCTAATTTTGAGCCTCTATCTTTTTAAGAATTTCAAAAGGCCAAAGTGATAGTTATGGGCTAAAACACTTGGTCTAGCCTATTTTATAGCCTATTAAAAATATATTTGGTTTGAAGTAGTTTAAAATTAAAATTGCCTTAAATTAAAATAGAAATATTATAAATTTTAATTAAAATGAATTTTTTAAAAAGTCTTTCTCACAATTTCTTTCAAACTTTAAAAGTAAATGTGTTATTTTAATTATTTCTGCAAACAAAATAATTTTATCTGAATGGATTTTATTTTAATTTAATCGTCGACATGATGTAAATGATTACTTTTACAACACTGAGAAATAATAAATAATTAACTTAATTTCAAAATTATAAAAAAAGCAGAAATTTTATTTTTAATAATATAGTGAAAGTTAAATTTAAATTTAATAAAAAAATATTTTTTTTAAAAAAAAATTCTATATAAATAACTAAAAAAATAATAATCAATAAACATCTTCAAAAATATTTAAAAAAACGCATGTTACTTTGCCATAATTATCTTCAGAAAGTTCATATCTAATGAACTAATATGATATAGTTGAAAATAATCACTCGGCTAACCAACATAATAACTCATTTTAATCCTATTTTTTGGTAATTTTAAACCCAAGGTGGCCCCGATTAAAAAATTTTTAACCCTAAATTGAGTTGCTTGCAGTGCCTTACTATCTAAACTCAGAAAGTGCCATTGTGATATTTATATATTTATGGTAAATATTTTTTATTTGAACTATATAGAATAACATTATTCATCTGAACCCCGGGTCTGTGCTTGGGGTTCGGCTCAGAGCTGCTTTAATCATCAATTTTTAGACCCAAACCCCGGGTTTGGTATTTACACAACCAACCAATTAACAACACTCGATATCATGATAAAAATGATGCACAATGACCTGTTATAAATATGATAATCATAAATGTATAACATATATCTATTATATAGCGAATTTCACACTAAGGAAAGTAAATTTAAGACTGACAAATCAATTTTTTATCACGTAGTACTTGAAAATTTATTTATTCTATTTTTAGTTTGCTAACCCAATATGAAATGTAGATATCCTAGATTTAAACTGCAGGAATCTGTTAGTTCATAGATATTAACATATTTAATGTAATATATAAAGAAGGGGCGTCGCCAGCTATGTCACTTAGGTGCTAAAGCACCTCTTTTAAAATTAACACCTATTTTAGATTCGAATTTTGAAAAATGGATATCAACTCTATTTTTTATAAATTAGCACCCATTTAAACAAAGATCATAATATATAATTTAATTAAATTATAAGGGCTTATTATAAATAAATATCATTTATCTTATATCATTAATTATTTAATATTAGTTTCCACCCTTTCGCAGTTTGCCAAAATTATATCAGAAAAAGTGAATATTAATTTAATTAGATGATCCTACATATTAAAATGAAATTCCTAATAGAGGTAAGAATTTAAATATTCAAATTAGTTTGTCAATCTTTATACCTTTTGATTTAATTGAATAAATAATGGTTAAGCAAAACAAAAATTAATTTAAAAAAAAAAGACCAAGAGATTGTCTTAATGGTATAAATTTTTATCTATTGTTTTCAATAGTATCCCCCCCCCAGTCCCTTTGGGAAAGGCTAGCGATGCTGTTGATATAGTAATATTTAATCAAATATTGTTATATTTAAAATAATATACAAGTCATTATAATTGAATAAATATATTGTATAACTTACTAACATATCAACGTTGTTAGTATGAATCTACCATATTGTTCAGATTAGGCAGTATCGCGGATAGTTTAAAATTTTGGAAGTATTTTGTATCTAAGATAAGAATTATTTAAAAGTATCTATATCTTAATCAACATTGTAATCAAAGATAGATATTTCAAAAAAAATTTATTTTAGTTAATTTGAATAGTATTAAAATTTTAAATGATATTATTTCAAAATTTAAATGAACAATTTAATCCTAATTTAGATATTTTAAGATAACTAGTAGAAAACCCGTCAAAAATGACGGGGAATGAGAATTTTCTTGGTTCTTTTACGATAGATGATAGATGTTACCTTTTATTTTAAAATCATATTTTTTAAACTTTTTACCCCCCCCCCCCTTCAGGTAAAGTCGAACCCATTAAATAGTGTTGTTAAAAGGCTTAGTTTGAGCCAATTTTTAAAAAGGGCTGACAATATTTTATCCATAAAGATCTTACGCAAGCCTGAAGATTTCGCTCATAGAAGAAACAAAGGTTTAGACATATATTAACGAGATCTCGAGGCTTAGGCAATATTTTTCTGGCTAAAATATTGAGTTAGCCGTTTCAAAAAATCGGCTCAAATGAGCCGTTTAACAACACTACCATGAATACTAAGAGTGAATACTATTTATTGATTGGAAATATATTTAAATTAGCTTTCAACCTATATCAAAATCCTTTGTTAAAATATTATTGATTGCCTGTAGCTAGACCTGTAGC